CTGTTTTTATTGAATAAAAATAATTTTTTTTATTATTTCGGGTCGGGTCGGGTCGGATTTCTAATTCATATATTCGGGTCGGGTCAGGTGAAATTTTATTTTGGTCGGGTCGGTTTTTTTAAGTGTGATATTCGGGTCGGGTCGGGTCGGGTTCGGGTTTAGGATGAAAAATACCCGACCCGACCCAAAAAATATATAATTTTACCTTATATATTTAGGAATAATTACATTAATACCCCTCTATATATATATATTTTCAATTAAGTCATTGTTTTTATTGAATAAAAATAATTTTTTTTATTATTTCGGGTCGGGTTGGGTTTCTAATTCATATATTCAGGTCGGGTCGGGTGAAACTTTATTTTGGTCAGGTCGGGTCTCGGATGGAGGTTCCCTTGTTCTCGGGTCGGGTCGGGTGGACCAAAAACCCGACCCAACCCGACCCATGGCCATCCCTAATTGTGATGATTTTAACTTATGATGTTTATTAACATGATTTTTATAATTTATTGAAATGAATAATCAATCAATAAGATTAAAATTTAATTTTTTTTAAATTTTTATATTATATTACTACATGTAATTTATAAAACAAACTAAAATTAAGCAAAAAAAACAAGAAGGGCAATCTTGTCATTTTACATTACTGAAATTAAATTCATCTGACATGTCTGCGAACCAAACAAAATATGAAATTGGATTATGAAATTGGATTCCAATTCAATTCCTGTCAACCAAACAGAATATGAAATTGGATTCCAATTCCTTCATAGATTCTAATCCCCTCAGAAACATTCTAACGAACCAAACGTCACCTTAAAGTCAAAACTCAATCATCATGATGTTTCCTCAGTTTGCTCTGGTTAAAATATTCATTTGTTGTTTGATCATCCAGGTCAAACAATCATACAAAGAAAATAAGGTCATTTATAAATCTTTTAGTGAAACTGAGAACCACATATTAATGGATGTTAACCTTAAAAGCAATTTTGTAAATGAAATATTTAAAAGCCACTTTCATTTAATCTAAAAAGAAAACAAAGGGAAAGAAAGTGTTGACAATTAAGCAACGGTCAGCACTAGTGATTGAATGGAAAGAAGTCGTAGAAGCAGGTGAAGAGATGACAACAGTGGATCCAAAACAAAATCGCTATCAATCACATGGAAACCCCCGGTTTGGTCCGCTCTAAAAACAAAATTCCCACTGCTCGATGTGGGAATTGGATTAATCAAACCAAACCCAAGTCTTCCAATTGGGTGCAACAATCTGGAGCCACCTTGGCTTATAAAAAGCGGCTTCTTAAAGAGCAAGAACATGGAACCACAATGCCCAGATTCGAAGCAAACAGGTGCCCCTCACATCTTCCCCTTGAGGCGGTCCAATCTCTTCCTGCATGTTACCTTTATAATTTGTTTAATCAAAGGGGGGGATTTGCTTTAAAATAATGTTTATTAGTGTCAGCACTTGAACCAAAGCTCTCCCAACAGTTTTCTAAGCTTTCCTTTTTTCCATTCCCCCCCCCCCCCACACACACACAAAAAGTGAAGACCGTGCCTCAAATTTCTTGAAGACTTAAATTCTTATCTTCACAAGATTCGGCTGATTTTGCTTAATTATGTTTCGTTAAGCCCCGTGAACTTTACGTTGTTTCCGACGTAAAAAGCTGCGTCTTATGAACATGAAACAGTTTAGATTGGCCACGAAACTACAGTTGTCATCTAACAAAGCCACAATTGTAGTGGTAAAAAAATTAAACATGTTACAGGAATTTCGGTAATATATGAAGTTACAATGGCGAACGCATCAATCAAAACCGTTTAATAATATAATAAGAAAGATTCCAACCTAAATGATGAACGGGCACATCGTCCAAAATTTCAAGGTTTGTTTTATTATAAAGGGTAAAATTCTTGTCAGGTTATTCGATTATTAGTTCGATTATAAATAAGCCACTTTTTTTTTAGAAAAATGATAATTTAATCACTCAATTAAAATATCTTCATAAATTAATCATTTCATCGTCAAAATTGAAACATGCATCTAGTTTGGCTGATATAATAACTATTTTAGTTTTAAAAACTTATATGTTCCGTCAATTTTGTCCTAATTTAAAATAATTCATTAAAGTTAATCCTTCATATTTAAAAATTCTATCGAATTCATTACTTTTTATAATATTGTCAAATCAAGTTTCATCGGATCAAAGCAACTGTTGAATAATTGTATTCTACTATAAAGAAACAATAAATTACTATTAAACCATTGTTATACCATTAAAGTAACAACAAAACAAGAATAATGCTTAAATTGATAGAGATTCTAAATAGGAATGATTAAATTTATTGAACTATTTCGAATTAGAATAAAATTAATAGAATGTATGAATTTTAGAGACAAATTGTTATTATATCAACTATGTTGCTATTTTAGCTAATATTCAACAATCAATAATATATTTGTAACTAATAATCGTCCTATAATTTGTGTCTCATATTGAATATGGACATAGTTTTAGGAGATATATTTGATAAAGGGAAATCATAAAATTATCCCTAAAAAATGATTGTTATGTTTAACATATTTATTTTGATAGATGTAAAAGAATGGGGGTAAAAAAAAGGAGATATAAGTATTGTTGTTTGTTGACTTTTCTAATAGGACATTTTGAATGGGATAATTTAAAAAAGTAATATGTTTATTTTTAAAAAAATCACTATTTTTATTCCAAATAGGAATTATCCTAAATTACAATAAAGATTTACAATCATAATCATAAATTAAGCACATAATTAAGACAATTTCCTATAATCATTGAAACAAAGCTAGCAACTTAATATCACATAAGGACCGTATAAGGAAATATTAAAATCTAACCAAGAAAACTCGAACAAAGATAGATACAAACATATCTGATCGCATCAGCAAACAAACCACAAAAGAGGATCAAGCTACTGAAAAACCACCGACAATCCGCAAATAAGACTCGAGCAACGTGAAAAGCTATCCACAAATGCAAAACATATATCCAAATCCAATCCGATGGTCCAAAGCAGAGAAGATCAACAATATAACAAATAAGCATAATCTTGATCAGTTGTGGCTATGTCTAAACAACCTTTAGAAAATGATAAATGAAAACAACAGCCAAACAGACGAAAAATGTGCCAAAAGATAGAAGAAAATATGTCATATATAGGTAGACTTATTGAAAATAAAAAAATAAGATAAAATAAAAGGAAAATAAAGAATACTAGCAGTCGACAACTAATATTAAAGTTGATGCCGCCGCCGATTAACAAAGACAAAAACAAAAAGAGATGGACGGCTTAACAATGAGAGAAAACTAGAAGAAAAAACTAAGAGAGAAAAGTACATCCTTAATGAAATCAATTTAGTAATATGTTTATAATTAAATTAATAATTGAATGATATGAGATACATTTGAGCTTTAACATAAACTTGAATACATTATAGTTCTAATATATAAGTTAGTCCATATGTTTAGTTGCTGGCTTAACTGTGAGAAGTGGGGGATTTTATACAATTGAAAGAGAGAGTCGAGTATCATGATTTTTAACTATAAATAAATATACCTTTATATCTTGATACAATGCTAACATATCAGAGATCGAATAAAAATAAACAATGAATAAAACTAGACAAATCGATTAGAGAGAAATTGATGAGACTAATCGATTATATATATATATATATATATTTATATTTTGAATATTTTATTATTTTTATAAAAAATTATACTTTTTAAAGATTTAGAAAAATAGTTAATTATTTAATTATTTAAAAGAATGGTTCAAGAATTAACAATACTACTGGTTCATGAGAAAATGAGCAGACAAGGCAAATCAGATGGTTGATCCGTTGCTACATTCATTGAATTGAAACCCTACAAACAAGAGTTCGCCCCCTTAAGATACGTCCTCACCCTATTTCGGTGGTGTAGGTCCCTACTACATTTTCCCATGCATCCTAACTCTCTCTCCATTAAGACAAGTTATTCATATGCTCTATATTCATGGTTAATCCGTAACACTAGCTCCCCATTCTTTCAGTTCCAACCACAATAACGCACGCTTTCAGTTTCAACACTTATTTTTATATATACGTACACACTTTCTGATAGCTTTATAAAATTATTAAAAATCTAAGTAAGATTGTAGTATAAGTGCCATTTTCATACATTGCAATGTGAAGAGACCTTACATAACATAGAAGGAAGTACTCTTGTTTTATTATTTTGAAATGGGGAGAGATGGAGGGAGACAAGTTGTAGGGAGAGATGACCTATTAAATGAAGGACAATGTAATCTTTGTACTGCAGGCTTTGAATTCTCAAGATGCACGCATTTACGAGAGAGATAGAGGGAGAACGTGGGGTGTTGGAACCCATGGTGGGTATTGACAAAAAATTATTGAAGAGAGTAAAATTCGATTCGGTTTTGTAGAAGAGATTGATTTTTTTTTGGTTGAATGTTAAAAGTTTTGATTCGACTATTTATAATTTCATAAACTTAAGTTGATTCGAAGAAATTTTAAATAAAATTTGAATTATAAAATAAAACTTAAATAACTCAAATAATTTTATTAGTGCATTATTTTTTAAGTTCCAGTTGATTCTCTTAATTATGCATGATATATGCATATTAAATATGAAGATATATATATATATGTAATTATAGAAAATCATTTAAATCAAATTCAATTAGTATCATAATATTATAAATATTCATAATTAAATTTGAATAACTTAAAAATAATTTCATAAACTCGATTTAACTTTAAAAAATTTTCAAAAAAATTTAAGTTACAAAATATAATTCGTTAATTCAAAATTTTGAATGACATGATTCGGTTCGATCGAACAGTGATCTTATACCCCACCGGCCACCACACCGTCCAAGCCTTTGATCATCTAACCCTAACCCAACAACACATTTGACTACACCCCAAGATCACAAAAACAATCCAAGTACGCCCCAGATCTAAACCCATAAACCACCTCTCCCTCTACCCTTTTCTCTTCCTTCCAAACCCTTAACCAAAACCTATCTTCTTACAGGAGAAGCAGCTCACTTCCATGAATTACCAATGAATAACGTATCATCTAAACTCACATGGAAGAGTGGATAGAAGATAGATAAGCTTGATTCAGCTTAAAATTTGGTGGCAAATACTTCAAACCACTTCTCTTTCCCTTTTTTTGCTGAAACCTGTAGATATTCAAAGCAGTCTGCAAACAAAAATAGCAACTTTATAGTCTTTTTTCTCTTCTGATCTATCAGAATTCAGTTGATTCTTCTACTTCGTAGATGATTGTTGATGATATTAGGTTTGAATTTTGAAGGGGAAGAGCAAAAATGGATCCAATAACAGCTCATGGTCGTCACCTCCCTCCTTTACTCGCTAGAGATCTTCATCTAAACCCCCACCATCAATTTCAACACCACCACCAACAGCAGCAGCAAAATTCCAAAGACGAGCAAAATCGTGGCCAGAAACGAGATCGAGAAGAAACAGCCACCACCACCACGACTGACACGGGAGGAGGGAAAGAGTTAGCCTTATCCGAAGGCGAAAACACGAGAAGACCGCGCGGCAGGCCTGCTGGTTCCAAGACCAAGCCTAAGCCACCGATCATCATAACCCGAGATAGCGCCAATGCTCTCCGGTCCCACGTTATGGAAATCGCCACCGGCTGTGATATTATGGAAAGTGTTTCGACTTTCGCCAGGCGAAAACAAAGAGGGGTTTGCATTTTGAGCGGGGGCGGAACCGTAATGAATGTAACCTTGAGGCAACCCGGAGCTCCTGGTGCAGTCGTGAATTTACAAGGAAGGTTCGAAATTTTATCACTTTCTGGGTCGTTTTTGCCTCCTCCGGCACCGGCGGCTGCATCGAAATTGGCCATATATTTAGCTGGCGGTCAAGGTCAAGTAGTAGGAGGAACCGCGGTGGGACCACTTATTGCTTCGGGTCCGGTGTTGGTTATGGCAGCTTCTTTTGGTAATGCGGCGTATGAAAGGCTTCCATTGGAAGAAGAAGAAGAAAAATCAGTGGAGCCCCCGATTCCCGGTAGCGGAACCTTAGGGTCACCGGGAACCATGGCTACTCAACAACAACAACAACAACAGCAACTATTGCAAGATCCCAATGGATCTTTTGCTCAAGGATTGCCACCAAATCTTCTAAATTCAATCCAAATGCCAGCCGATGCCTACTGGGGCACAGGTCATCCACCTTATTAATAAAAACACAGAAAATTCCCTGCCTTCCTTTCTTTTTCTCTTCCTTCATTTTCATTTTTCACTTCTTGTTAGTTTATTCCTCTTCCTTTTTTATAAAATAGTTTGATGTTTTAAGTTTGATCATCATGGCTTTGATTTGTAGAAGGATATGTACAAATTTCCTGGAATATTTCTCCCTGGTGTGGGTTTTTTTCCAGTTGTATTTTCATAAAAAGGTAGCCTTTTACTCAGCCGTGCTCATTATAGTAGCTTAAATGATTAAGAAGGACAAGAAGCGTGCAAGTCATTTCTCTATGTTGGAAGAAAAGCAAGGGAGATGGGAATGGGAGGTTATGGGCTTAGTGTTTTGTTGTCTTTCGCTGTATGTTTTTTTTTTCTTGCTTTGATAATGCTATAGGTTTCATTGTGGAATCAGCCTGTTCGGTTACACGTGCGCTGCTCTGCAAGATAAAGAAGAAAGCTCCTTTCCGAGGCAACCATTTCCATTTCCTTGTATAATTCCCATGTAAAAATGCCAAGCAAAGCAAACCACAACAACACCAGTAACAAGCACTACAAACTGGCTCTGAATCTGATCCTCATGCGTTAAGGTTTCATCTTTCTCGGGAAAAATAAAAACTGTCACTGCCATTATACGTGTAAGATGACATGGATTGAATCAATTAGAGGAGGTAAGTTCAGTTTTTTTTTATGGTTCATCCATAGTAAAATTTTAGGGTTTATATTTTAAGGTTTTAAACTCATCGATGTCTCAAAAAAGTTTCCTTTATAATTAGTTTCTCTTAATTTTCATTGATCCTCCTTAGCAGTACATGCATAGCATGCAAATCCTCTTTTAGGTGGTTCTCACAATGAAAATAAACCCTAAATTTCTTTCTTTCATTTCATTTCTTTTGAAAACATTAACCTAATAAAATTTATTTTTGATTTATATGAAGGAAAAGCTGTTATTTCTAACCTATTCACAAGATTCATGTATATTTTGTGTATGAGGTTCCTCATGATTAACATGGATCCTTTGATTCCTTGAAGTACAACACACTTCAAGAATTATTACTATGTAAAATGTTAAGATTCCTTTGTTTTTCCCTTTTCCATTTCCTTTTCTGGTAGCCATCTCATGAAGTGAAACTGAAAGAGCAAAGCATATATAATTGCCACATTCTAGACTTATCAATTAACAGCCTCCATCCTTACCGGTCTGATACTATATATATATATATATATATATATATGTATGTATGTATGCCTATAATCTCATTGTACATGAAAGTTTGTCCCAACATTGTCCGCGAGCTTTTTTATAAATTTTTATTACATAATTTTTGGACTATAAATCTATTCAAGAGTTGGATTATCTTTTAAAATTTCTCAATTATGAGATATTTTCAATAACAAGTATATTATCCAAAATGGACGTGGATTAAGAAACAAGATAAATTACAAATTTTGTCACTGATTTTAAAAATGATGGGATGATATGATAATTTATATCAAAATGAAGTTATTTTAAATACATAAAAAGAATTAAATTTATATTCAAAACAACAATGTTTTAACTTTTAAATTCAAATATAAAAGTCATTTTTCATTTTTTTCTATCTCTCATTTCCTATCCCATTGTCTTAATCAACCTAGATGCCGGTCACTTTTGTGGCGATCGACTATAGAACCAACCGCCATTTTAATCATAATCGTTGATAACCGATGACTCCAGAAATTTTCATCAAACACATTTCGTTCTCCTAAACACAAATTTGATGTCCATTCAATCGAAAAATATCACAAAATCTACGAATTCAACATTGAACACTTTGATTTCTTTTTTTTATCTTTGTTGCCTACTATTGGACGAGATTCAAATCAAGATATGTTACTCCCTACCTCAGTAAGGGTCTTTCCACCATTGAGTTTGATAATTTTTGGCAAATGGGTCACCTTTACTCTTGTAGTAGACTCAATTTATCATTTTCACCCTTATCGTATTTTCACGTCAATTTAACCCTTGAAGTTGTTTAATTGAATCATTTTATACCCTACCCCTAACTTAAAACCCTAAACCATAACCCCACAACATCTAAACCCTAAACCTTGATCTCTAACTTAAAATCCTCAGTTTAGGGTTTTAAGTGAGGGATAAAGTATAGAACGATGTAATTGAGCAACTTCGAGTGCTAAATTGATGCAAAAATACGATAGGGGCGAAAATGATAAATTTGGTCTATTACAGGGTAAATGTGACCCTTCTGCCATAATTTTTTATTATTAGAGTAAATCAAAATTTTAAATTTACTTCATAGTTTATAAGTTTAACTCTTAACGTTTATAAAATATATATTAAACATTTTAAAATAAAATTAAAATAATATAATACAAAAATATTAAATATTAAATTCATTATCATATCAATTAAGGTTTAATATAATCCATGAAAAATATTAATATTATAACCAATCATCCTTAATTGTCTGCTTATCAAATTGACTATGGTTAACCAATTTACCCAATTATGAAATTGAGAGACTAAAAGGTCCGCAGTCTTTCCTCTAAACCCCTCCTATCTTCCTACAGATTTCCCTCTCCCTTGCTTCCGTAAACTTAACCCACCAATGGTTCTTGCTTTGATCTTTCATTAGCTCTCAATTGTGAAGGGTTCTTGCCTTGATCTTTCATTAGGTTTCAATTGTGAAGGGATCTTAGTATCTTACTATCACTAGACTCTCACTAATCAGTGCCAGAGGCCATTCCTCACTAAGACAAATCAACTAGTGTATCGTTTTCACCCCCATCGGATTATGTGGCCTGATAATCTACTAGTTCATCGGACTTAATGTGGAATAGCGCTGGCACTAAGACTCCGGCGCCTCCTCTTGGTGTTGTAAATCATTTGCCCAACTCAGTTTACTGCATTTGGCGAAGCTAGAGAGGGAAAATAAAGAATGAATAACGAGTAGTTTAATTCTAAAACACATAATCAATGAGTTCACCCTTCAACAAAATGAAAATTTGACTTAACAGCCAGCAAAATTTTTTGTCACCCCGACCTTTTCACCTGAAGGAACTTCAACGAATAGCCTAGAAATAAATAAATAATTTTACAAACCACCGTATATTTTTCCTGTGGATGCTCTCTCAGCGCTGAGAATATTACATTAATCTCTCAACCTCGTAGACTATACAGTGGCGAGATATGTTTTCTTTCCTAGCATCACTTTTAGAACATGTTACAAAATATCCCAAACTTTACCTCAATCACAACTCTATCCTTAACCGCCTCATTTCAGCTCGAAATACGGGGCTTGAATTCAGTGTTCGGCGAGCAAGACTTCTGATGTCCTCTCGAGAACAGTCCCTTGTTATGCGAACCAGCTCCCAGAGGGCACCTCCATTTATTATGTCCTTTGCATTTACTTCTGAAATTTCAAAAAAGTTGAAAAATAAAGGTCCTTCAGGGAATCCGTAATGTGTTCGACGCTTCACTGAATTTTTGTTGATGGAGAATTCAACTTACCATGCTGTGCCAAATGACACAGTGCGAGCTCAATGTGTCACCTAATAGGTGCAGCATCGTTGGTAGCATTTTGCACAATCCATGGAAGTGCAGCTTCATCAATAAGAAGTGATTTCTGTTAGATTTGGCTTGAAATTAAGTTGGTAAGTTGGAAATTTCATCTTGGTTGGTGGCCAACTTATTAGAAATTTCATCTTGATTGGTGGCCAACTTATTAGAAATTTCATCTTAGTTGGTGGCCAAATTTTGAACATGGGAATTTCATATTTGGTGGCTAACTTGTATACATTGGAAAATTCTTTGGTAGGTGGCCAACTTATTTTTCATGTTTAATCCCTAAAATATTAGGTTATTTATAAGTTTAGTCCTTAAAACTCAACTATAAATAGGTCTAAGTATTTCATTAGAAATCATCCCAAAACAAGTTCTCTCTTCCTCTTGTATTTTTCATTCTCCCACTTTAGGAATTATAAAGAATTCCATTTGTTGTAATATTAGTGATATAGTGAAGTTATCATCCGGTGTGGTGCCCGAGGAGTAGACGATATTCTCGTCAAACCTCGTAAATTTGGTGTGTTCTCTCCTTTATTGTTTTTTATTCGGTTTTTTCATTGTGTTTCAACATTCAATAGTTTGACAGGTTTATCCGTTGTGCAACCTTTGGTGGTTTTGATCATGACATTTTAGGTCAATTTTGAAACTACGTTCGTGTGGGAAATAACCCGATTTCCCCAACAATTGGCATCAGAGCTTCGGTTGAGGTTATCCTGGTGGTTCCGTTGCTGAAAAGATACAGTTCGTGCTATTGAATATTGTTCGTTGAAATTAAAATGCCAAAATACGGATCAGTTGAGACATCAAGCTCTTCATCCGGACCAGTGAGGAGGAGGATGTCAAATGCAAATTTCTCGGTGAGTTTTTCAATAGATCTGGTCATTTTGGCATGTGGCAAGGCGAAGTGTTAGACGTTTTTATCCAACAAGGCCTAGACATCGCCATTGAGGAAGAAAAACCCGAATCTATGGAGGAGAAAGAATGGGGAACAATCAATCGTTTGGTGTGCAGCACGATTCGATCTGGTCTTTCTAGGGAGCAGAAGTATGGGTACAAGAACGAGATTTCTGCAAGTAAGATGTGGAAAGCATTGGAAGAAAAATTCCTAAAGAATAACTCTCAGAATCGTCTCCACATAAAGAAAATATTATTCAGATTTGATTATCAACCAGGCACCAGTATGAATGAACACATCACTGCGTTCAATGAGCTAGTGGCAGACTTATTGGGCATGGATGAAACCTTCAAAGATGAAGATTTGGCCTTGATGTTGTTGTCATCTCTTCCAGATGAATTTGAGCACCTTGAGACAACGTTACTTCATGGTAAGGATAATGTTACCCTTAAAGATGTAACTGCTGCTTTGTATAGTTATGAGCTCAGGAAAAAAACCAAGAAGGAGAGCAAGTACGAAGCAGCGGAGGCCATGGTGGCAAGAGGTCGCTCAAAAAGTCAAAAGCCAAAGTGGAGAGGGAGATCAAAGTCGAAGTCCAGACTAGGAAAAGATGAATGTGCCTTTTGTCATGAGAAAGGCCATTGGAAGAAAGATTGTCCGAAGCTGAAGAAGAAAGGAAAAGTTGCTCCAGATGCATGTGTTGCAGAGCATGATGTAAATGACTCTGATATATCATTGGTTGCTTCATCAACAACATTCCATTCAGATGAATGGATATTAGATTCGGTTACACCTATCATATGTCCCCTAATCGGGAGTGGTTCTCCGATTTAGTAGAACTAAATGCAGGATTTGTTTATATGGGCAATGACAATGCCTGTAAAACTGTTGGGATAGGTTCAATTCGATTGAAGAATCAAGATGGATCAACCAGAGTTCTGACGGATGTCCGATACGTGCCCAGTTTGAAGAAAAATCTCATCTCATTGGGAGCCTTAGAATCCAAAGGCTCAGCAATAACTATGAGAGATGGAGTTTTAAAAGTCACATATGGCGCACTTGTGATGATGAAGGGCATCAGGAAAAATAATTTGTATTACTATCAAGGTAGTACAATTATTGGAGCAGTTGCAGCAGCTTCCGGATGTGATGATTTGGACGCAACCCAGTTGTGGCATATGCGGTTGGGACATGCTCTGGAGGAAAATCCTTGCAAAT